TAGTGCCTGGACAGGGCCATTTCACTCTGGCCCTCCTGCCAACTTTTCCTCATGAACTATTAGTAGATTTCATCACCTTCTGAGACTGAAACTCCCCACTAATAGCTTCGGGTTGAAGCTATTTCAAAATTAAAACTGTTGGTTAAGTGCTTGGTGTTGGGGAAGAGTACCCTTATCTTTCTTTCTCTTCCATATTCCTAGTGCTTTTACACACCTAAGTGCCATGGAAATAGGAATAATTTGCTGGACAGTGCTCTGGACATAAAGGAATTCTTCGACCACAAAAATGGGACCCCCTTTTCATGCTTCTACAATCCAGATGGCCAATCTGAAGATGTCATTCTCATAAAAAAGTATGACCAAATGGTTATCTTCCATTGTTTATTTTGGCCTTCGCTGACGCTGCTAGGTGGTGCCCTGATTGTTGGCATGGTGAGATTAACACAGTACCTGTCCCTACTATGTGAAAAATATAGCACTGCACCCAGAGGTGGGATAGGTGGCAAAGTACCTTATATGAAACAGCATCAATTCAAAGTGTGGAGTGTGGGGAGGAGCAAAGGAAGGAGCAGAGAAACCTTAAGATGGTGGCCAAATTAATGCCCTAGCTTTTAGATACCTGCAATTTCTGCACTTGAGGACCTAATTACAACTGCTTGCAGGCTAACCAAAAGGCAAATTTAGGTATGATATGGGAAAGAAAAAAAATTAAAAAGTCTCATATACATATTCCACAAATTTTGTTAATACATACAGATTCACCATCTTTTCTACTCCAACTCTCTTTCCACATGAGCCAAGGAAGCACTTTTTGTTCCCACATGGCAAAATGAGCTCTAGGTAGTTATCTTTTACCTAATTTCAGCTCTAGATAAAATTTGTCAATGTGGAAATAATCGATAAGGGTATCAAACCTACTGAGCAGTGAACAATCAACCTAGTTCTATGCAATATAGTTCACATTAAAACATTTCTCAAAAAAATTCTTGAAGAACAGTTCATTCTCTAGAGGAAGACAGTAATTTCAGAAAATGTGGACCTACCATTTTACTTCACCATTCATGATAAAGGAAGAAAGCCGCTGCCTAGAAAATTCACTAAGTTTAGAGTTATCTATACTTAACTTTGCCATGTACCATGTAATATTTCTTTCGGCAACATTTTTTCTCGTTAATTATGCTTTCCGTAAGCTCATTGTATTCTTTGTGCATGCACATGCTGATGAGAGTGGAAGAGATGGCTAGAAATGTGTTAAGTAAGGAGAAGCCATCCTGGATGCAACTTAAGATTCATCTCAGATAATCTGGATACTCAACACCTGTCCATATTTTAATTGATGAATCGACCAGGTTATTAAATAATGAATGTCACAAGACTCTCCAATAAGTGCTGTCCAGATTAAGCTGAATGAGTTGAAAAGTTTGTTTGAAAACCAATGTGACTCAAAGTATTTTTAAAATTTCACCCCCCCACCCAAAAATGTTACATCATGGACCATAGAATGAGACATTCTTTAAAGCAATTTTTATATGTAGATGTAATCAAACCAGAAACTTTGATTCTAAGCCAATTTAATGCTTTTTAGAAATTAATTTTAAGCCACAAATTACTAAATAAATTGAATAATTAAATAGAGCAACAGTGATTTGACCAGTAATGAACAATTTTGGAGTTTTCTTCTTGTCCTAGTGTGAAATAGTGAAGAGAATATGTGTCTCAGATGAGGATTTATTTGAGCTCGAAGGCCATAATTACAGCTTTTTAGATATGTATCCTTGGGCAATTCGACCGACTTGTTTGAGCCTCTCTCTTCATCTATAAAATGGTGATAATCTCTTCTTTCATGGGGTTATTTTAGGGAATAGAGTAGGTGAAACACCTAGCTTAATTTCTGGCACATAATAGATGTGTTTTAAAATGTTAGTAGAAAAAAAAAATCTTTTGCTGTTTTAATATCCTGTCAGCCTTATCCCTCTTCTGGGTATGTACACAAAGAAAATGAAATCAGTACCTCTAAGAGATAGCTGCACTCCCATGTTCACTACAGCAAGATTCACAGTAGTCAAGATCTGGAAAAAACTTGTGTCCATTGACAGATGAATAAAGAAATTATGATTATAGACATATAATGTATGTATATATACATATACACATATATATAATGGAGTATTATTCAGCCTTTAAAAAGGAGATCCTACTATTTGCAACAATATAGATGAACCTATAGGGCAATATGCTACATAAAATAAGGCACAGAAAGGAAAAAAAACCCACATTTCACGTATATGTGGAATCAAAAAATTTGAATATATAGAAAGAGAGTAGAATGGTGGTCATCAGGGGTAAGGAGGTGGGGGAGATGGGAAGATGTTGATTAAAGGGTACAATAAATTTTAAACCCATCTAATAATAAGCAGTTCTTGGGATTTTTCTCCTAACAAATTCAAAACCACTAATTTGAAACCTAGAATGTGTGAAAGTGTGAAAACTAAAGTTTCATTTACTACAGTTTTCCATTCATAGAGTGGCTACTTGGTTCATCTCAGGAAAGACAGACTTTATGCTTAGAGAACAAAGTCAATTTAGAACAATGTTAATTCAAAGTCATTCAAAGCACCTGACAAATAAAGAAAATTTAAGCAATTATTTGCTCTTAATTGCTTAGCAGTTCTAAGTATCAATGCCCACATGCATTATGGGTCCAAGAAAAGCCCAAACTTACTTTTTGCAAGGCTTACAACAACTGAAAGCAAAAACAGTTTGCTTCTAACTTAACTCTTCTTTTATGTCTGGTCTTCAGCTGACTTGGAAAAAAGTCTACTTGTATATACAAACGCATTCATACATGTATGTGTATACATATATTTCTGCTTGAAATACAAGCATATAATTATGCTTAAAGGGAGTTAATATTTAAAGAGGTATTTCTATAATATTCATCATTTTACTGGGGCAGAAAAATTAGCTTTAAGACATAATAGTTTCAGGTTTTCATTCAATTATTCTGTCATCATTGATAAGAACTCGAATTCAGCTAATTTGATTATTAGCAACACTGGTTTGCTTTTAAGTCCTCAAAAGAAATAGCAAAATATAATTATCACAGTTTTTAAAACATACAGTACACTAAGGATTGTTTGGACACAAGTCAAAGTAATTTTTTTTTTTTTTTTTAATAAACAGCATGATGTTACAGACTGCAAAGTTAAAGGAAAGCAAACATTGACAGTTTCTGATGAGCACAAACAGTAAGTGCAGTCACAGGCCAAACTTCTTGCTAGGAATAGCAAGACTGGGAAGAGGTCTTAAATTTAGTGACACTGTATTATGCTATATTTTCAGTACAATAACACATGCATCTTGCTGTGTCAGATACTTTTTGGGCCATCGTTAAAAGAACATTTAAAAACATTTTTTTCCCTAACTAATGCAGAATACCACAGGATTTCAATTCATTGAATAACAAAATATAGAGAGATAGATTTGCTATTTGGGGTGCTAAAAAGAGTGGTGGCAGCTCTTTTCGAAGCTTCCAAGGTCAACATTTGATGTGTTAGTAGTCTTTTGGTAGTGCCACATACCCCAAGATATTAAAGTATAATGTTCCCAAAGGGTATATTGTTTTAGATCTTATTCAACCCTATTAAGTCCGAAGACTGAATCACACTGAAACCACTGAAGCTTAGGTTCCAGAGCCAAAAACACTTCGAAATCAGATGAAGGCCCAGCTCTCCAACTACTCTTAGGAACATAAATTAAACCTGATAAGGGGATTTTTCTTACGAACTCAATAGATAATGACCACATTTGGAAATTCACATTAGAATTAAGGAGTTGTCTTATTAAAGATATTTTGAAAAAATACCAAAGTTGGTTTTCTGCCTTCTGGCTAACCTAGAAGAATTAACAAAAATAAGAATCATGTAAAAATGTACACGGCTTTTAGCATAACCACAAAATTATTGTAGTGACTGATTAAATAGTTTCAGATAGACTCAGGACTTAAATAGCTTACAAAAACGCATTAAAACAACCCCTTTCCATACTTACCAACATGAGAAATGGAGTCTACAGTTGGTAGTGAAATTCAGTTACCCAACTACGCTAAATGTACAATGGATTGATTTTACTTTTTTTCCTCCCTGCTAAAACTCTTATATGTAGTTGTGTAAAAAGTCAGAAAATTTCCTATGGCTCATAACTGTCACTTTATACTAACTAACATGGCTGTAATATTAGCATATCTAAAATATTAACACATCTAAGCAAAAGGAATGGTGCTGCACTGATAAAAAGCAAGTGCAAAACTTAATCAAGTGGAATACTTGAATGAAATAAGCTTATTTAAAAACTAACATCCCAACTTGGGAAACTCCTAATAAATTCTAAACTTCTGAATTTTAGAACCTCGATGTTTACACCTTTTATAAAAGATGCCTCTTGACTAGAGCTAGCAAGCAGTGTGTATACAAATAGAAATGTGTGCATATACACACACACACACACACGCTAATTTCACTAATAATCGAGAAAAGAGAACACCACTAATTTCAAATGTTGAATTCAAGAACCTAGTACCATGAACCTCCTAGCACTATAGCCTTTTCCAAATGGCTGGAGCAATGACTAAATTTTTAATCAAATTTTTTTCTTCATGTCTCCAAAGCCATTAAAAACAAGGCATGCCAACTTTGACTTTATAAATCCAAAATACAGTGCTCTGCAAATTTCTGTAATACCAGAGCCTGAGTATTGAATTGTGACTCATCTATTTTTTTCTTTATTAACCTTCTGAGGTAGAGTTACCAATCCAATTTTATCTAGAGCATAGTTATCCCTATAATCTTTTCAGAAAGTGAACATAATTTTTAAGAGGAAAAAAAAAGGCTTCCCAGGCTATGGCATATAAGATATATTTACAATTTTAATGTAACAATTAAAAAATAAAAATGGTTCATGTTTCTATTTTAAAAAACAGCCCAGCTGTATTATTCTGTCACCAAGAATTATTATGAGTATCCTGTCAATGCTGAATTTTATAGTTCAGCTTTCACAATCCCATCCTTGATGGAGAGTTAATTCCCTCATGGTATGCACAAAATACTCTCACAACTTTCAGACTTTTCTAGTGCCCCATCTGAGCAAGATGGATATGAAGAATGTAACTCATTCAAACAACTCCTCCCTGTTCTCCCCTTCTCTCCACATTACCCCCTTCTCAAAAACATCTGAAGTATGAAAGTTGTTTTTAAATAGTAGAAGCACCACAATCCATTAATACCACATATGGTCTTTAAACTGAAATATTTTAGTGATGTCTTGGACATCAAAATCAATTTTTAAGGTGGATTCTGAGTGAGTGGGTCCAGCCCAGGTCTGCTGTTTCTGCAGACGTACAAACAAAAAGAACTTATTCAGAAAAGTTAACCTGCTGGCTTTAAAATAATGCTGAAAATTAAATTTCTTCAAAGAGTTGGCAAGCATGGGCTATTGGTCAGAATATGGATTAAATGAATTTACAAAATCATTAAGAAATAAATTCAGGTTTATATGCTGTGAAATTTCCATGGTGCCCTTAAAATAGCTGGTGGCTTATAATTTCTTAATATGCCAAATCACACAATTTTTGATGGAAAAAAGAATACAGATGGACTGTGTTTTACCTATGAGAAAATTACCAATCCATTTAAAGTGAATCCAAGAGAGTATATACATTCTAATCAAGTCATTGATTATTTTCCTGATTAATAAGAACTACACTTTACACAAAATACTTTATCAGCAGCTGTTTTCATCAAAAAACCAATAGTCATAGTTTCACAGTTGAAAAAGTTACACATTAAAATATTTTACAATTCATTGTATTCACCAGATTCCCATTTCCTAAAGGGCTTGTAATATAAAGCAAAGTAGAAAGGAAAACCTCAAAGTTAATTACTTTGACACTAAGTTTTACACAGGACACTAAGAACCACAAAAAGCTTAGGTTCATCATAAAATAGAGACCAAATTCCATTCTTATTTAAAAAATCCAATTAGAAACATCTTTTTTAAAAAACCAAATTTCACAATATGATTAACATATTTCAAATTAACAGCAGTCTAAAAATCTTCAAAATAAACAATTTTGTATAGCTGAGACTATGACAAAAAGTTAAAGCATGTTTTTCAAACAGTTGATCTTTTCTTGCTACAATGTGTTTGAAATTAGGTTTTACTTTCTTTAAACCTGCTTTTTTTCCTCCAAAGTAGTCATTGAAGGAAATATTGCTTAAGTAACCGGATGAAATTGTAGAGCTGATAGTTTATATCACATTCAATGACAAAGATGGTTGGCCATAGGAACTGACCAATAGAATTGATCTCTGATACTAAAGTACCTGGAAGCAACAATATTATCACTGATTTGAAACATATCCTAGTCGTCCATGTAGCATTTAATTTAATTTTTGGTTCTGTGCCTTCTGAGAACTACCTGCCCTTTTATTCTTATTTGTAATGCTTTTGCTTAAACTCAGCTTAGATTTTTCAAAAATTTAGTTTGCCTTTACCTAGACCACTTTATCTATATTCATTATAAAATGTGTCTACACTTCTTCAAACAGAATTAATTTGGTTGTAATAATTCTTGAAAATAAATGTCAATGATGAAATAAAGTATGTGGCTTGTGTTTTAATGGTGGAGAGGTCCCAGGAAAAAGGGACTATCTGGACTGATGTGGAAGATGCAAAAATTATATAAATTTTGTGCAAGGAAGCTCAAAATTTTTTTGGCACTTGGGTAAAACACGATTCTCTGTTAAAACTTCAGTTTCCACCATCAAAGTTTCAGATTTGTACCATTTCACTGAGTTTTCCTGTAATCAATCCCTGATATGGAAAAGACTGGGATGTTAGTATGTGTTATAACTGAATAGCTCTAAAAGAACAAAATGTTACATGAACTTTTAATAAGTTATGAAATCTATATCTGCAAAAGAAATCTATTAGTTTCCTGCTTAAAACAGTTTAAATTCTTCTTAACTATTCCAAGACAGTTTAGAGAAATAAGTTCCTTTAATCTTCAAATTTATTTTTCTTGTTGGTAATATTATATACATGCTTTAGTGAAGTACCTAAATCTCCAATAATTATGCCCTTTAAGGGTTCTAAAATAGCCAAATATTAAGAGTAATTGTATTAGAGTCCTTGTTCACTATTCAAGACTTTTACTATAGGTAATTGATTTTATAAGTGAATATTTTTTAAGTGATGCTGTTTCACTAGAGAATATACTGTGCACTCTTTATAAAGTTGTATTCCAATAATATGCCTAATCTAGAAAACTGTCAGCAAATTATTGCACTTTTTCTGGTGTGGCACCTGGACATTTGCTAAAGCTATTTCCTAGGGCATTAATCACTCATTTCAAATACTGAGTAAAATATCAGATTCTGGAGTGATGACTAGTATTAGCGCCTACATCTTGGGTTAATGTTTTTTAAGATGTTGAAGAATGTATCATGTGCTCAAATGCAATTTAATAAAGTTGGAGAACGAGCCCTGATCACTTGGAAATGGAACATGATCTTAAAATGGTTTAAGGTCTTACATTTATTATTGAGATATTGGATAAATAGCTTAAAAAGGTAAAAAGTTCATGGTTTCTATTTCCTCATATTATTAAGTATTATTCATGAGCATACCTCAGTAGAGAGTTTAAGCAATCAAGAAGATACTCTAAATTGTATTAATTTTGGTAACTAATTTCATATGATTGAGGCATCCTGAACTATGAAAAAAGATGGAAGATGGGGATCCATGTAAAAACAAAGAAATAAAAGGAAAGAGGATGACTTTGATCTGTTTTCTTTAAGTAGTTATTCACTAGTATTGATATAAATGGGATAGTGCCTGAGCCTTACCCACAGACCCAGAGAAAAGCTGACCATGCTGATATGAACAATAAAAAATTTGGGGTGCAAAACAATGCATGACTATGGGACAGATCATGAAATAAAGAATATATATTAATGATAGTTTCTATAATATAAATAGCCTTTAATAAAAAAAATAATCTTTTTAATAACATTAATACTCACTTCTATTTTCTGGAAAACATGCATGAAAAATGTATTCAATTGCAAAAGGAGAAAAAAAAATCAACCTATGGTGAATACTGTACAATTCTGGAGCAAGAACTGTTCCTGCTTATTCTTTCTCTATGATGATTATTTTACTTTACGGGTGCCCAGAATTTCCCTGGGAAATCAGAATCAGATTCTTGTAAATACTGTCCAGAAAAAAACCCAAAAACACCACCTTAGAACAGGTCTCATTTGTGACTGCTTCCAAAACTTTGCAGGTAAGACCCCAAATCGTCAAAAGGTTTGATTTATTAAAAAAGAAAAGTCTCTGTTGAAATCTCAAGAGTCCCTGCCACCCCAAGAATTTTTCTTCATTAAACAAGGAGTCAAAAAACCCACTTCAAACTGTAAGTTGAACAGCAATGAAAAAATAAGAGATTTTCATTATTTCCAATCTTAATGTAATTTAACATTAAACTCGTTTACTTGGACCTAATGCAATAATAGACTTTGTATGTCCACATTTCAAAACATAGAACATTTGCAAGACACAAGAAGAGCATCATTCTTTTCTTTCTCCATCATTTCCATATATTTTGGGGTTTTTTTGGTTTTGTTTTGTTTTTAAAAAAAAGATACAAACAATCTTCAAAGTTTACCTTTTTTGGACTTAAGGCATAACATGAAATTGCGCATTATTCTAAAGCTTAATTTTGAAATGAACTAGTTTAGTGCTATCAAACCCTGTTTGCATTTGCATTATTTAAATTATATAGTATTTTATTTCTGTTCTTGCCATAAATTCTAATGCTGTTCATGGATTGTGCAATTCCTATGCAATCAGTCTTTGCCTGTTGACAGTTATTAACAGTGCAGTACAGAATCCAATATTGAGCTTTCAGTTTTTAGTTATCATTTCAGTTCAAAGCATGCTGCTTAATTGTGTGGAAGATCCAATCCATTTTTGTTGTCCAGCCACCATGATGTGCATCATTCATTTGTTTCATGAAATATTCCAAAGCTTCTTGTTCAGTTTTATCTAAAGCTAGGGTCTTTCGAATGTATGCAATATCATCAAAAGATTGTAGTTCTGGCATTCCAGAGCCAAGCATCATTGAGAAAAGATTTATGAAGAGATTGGCATGCTGCCGAATAGCTAGATAAGCTTTGTAACACATTTCCTGAAACCTACAAGTAATAAGAACAGTTTGGTCAGTACAGAGCAAATGGTGTTAATACCTCCAGGTCTCTGCTCAAATGTCACATCATTAGAGATGTGACAAACGTATGAAAAATAGCATTCCTCTCCCCAATCCCTTTGCCCCACACTAGAATGTAAACTCTGAGTCCATAAGGACTTTTACTACTTTATCACCAGCACCTGGAATAATGCCCGGCACATTAGAAGTTTAATAAGGATTTGTCAAATACATGAACTGATCTGTATATTGAAGCCTTTAGGATTTAAGCTAGGGCCAGGACTGAATTTTAGATAAAATAAAATTTTATGAAAGGTTTTAAAAGTACTTTAAGGTTTAAGATAGAATAATGATACACCGTAAGGTGGTAAGAAAAATTGCGAATAAACGTGGTAATTATAGTTGGCTGAATTCCTCAAATTGTATGACTGAAAAATGTTTCAAGCCCTATACATTATTTGTCAATATGGAGAAGGAGGAATCCAATTATTTAAACAGCAGTAAAAGCTTTTACTGTATAATGAAGTTTAAAGATCACTTTCTTTTTTGACCTTAGTTAACTAAACAAATTGGTTTTTCTTTCCATTTTCTTCACAGCATTACATAATAAATAAAAAAACCCAAATACACTGAAATAGTTTATGCTATGATGTTAATATAACATCTATTATTTGAAATTGAAAAATATCGATTGTTTTTAATAGAGCAGCAAGAATTCTTTATTTTGTGCTTTTGATTTTCTGAGCTTACCTTTCAAATTCTCTTGTCTTTGTGCATTCTTGGGCTCCTTTACTAATCACTATCAAGAAATCTTGAGTCAAAACAAATGGCACGCGCTCTCGTTTATAGCCAAATTTTTTCTTCTTGTGATCCAAAAAGTGTCCAAAATCTATATGAAACAGCTTTCAAAAATAAGAAATTATGTTATAGTTTGACAAATGCAGAAATACAATATCCTGAATCAATAAATCTAAGAACGCCAAAACAATTTAAAAAGAGAAAGCTATTACTTGTCCATCATCTTTAACCATGATGTTACTATTGTGACGATCTCCAATTCCCAAAATGAAGGTAGCAACACAATATCCAGCGCATGAACGTGTAAACAGATCAATGGCTGCATCGTATCTACAAAGAAGAAATAAATGCCTCATGAGCAGTGTGGCAATATAGAGTGATCCAGTCCAAAGAGGGAAAAGATGGTCAAAGTCTGTATCGAGACAATGAAAACAATCACTGACATCAAGGGGAGGAGTAATTATGCCCAAAGATCTGAGAAGTTTTGAGATTCTGAAGTTTTCAAGAAGTTCTAAGGAAATTTCTAGATATTCTCTGACCAAAGCATAATTCTTATTATAGTGAAAAAAAACCCAAAAACTTATTATGTCATAAAAATGAATTAAAATGAATTTTTTCTAATTATTTTAACAATAAATTAGAAGTAAAATTTTGAATGTGAAATGTTAATTTTTCTAAAACAGAACAGGCAATAAGAAAAACATCTTTTAGATATCTAAGTTGAATGTACAGGATTTTATTAAATTATAAGCAATTTTGATTATTTAAAAACAATAATCTCAAATATGTCAAAGGTTTCACATATTTTTTTCCAAGTAAATACAGCTGTTTTCTCTGGTCTAACTCTAAAATGTACACAACCATTAGAAGATTTGTCTAACGAAAACTTAGATTAAATAGGAAACTTAGATTAATAGGAATAGTAAACTCACATTTCTCCTTTGTTCTTGTCTTTGAGCCACTGATGTAGTGTGTGGCTGTTGAACTGCAGTGCACCTTTCAGGCCGCCTTTGCACTGAATTTGCATAATAGTGTGAGAATTTCTCACCACCTCAATAAGTCCCACACAGTCACCAATTGACAGACATCCATATGGTAACATTCTGAAAAAGGGTCAAGACATTTGCAATTAGATGATGGAATTTTAAAATAATAAATATTTTAATAGGCTAATACAGCAATATCCTAGCATTTGCAAATTTGTCACACATCACCTTTACTCCCTTAACCTAATTTTAATTTTCTTTTATTATAGTATGACGAACAATCCTAGAAAAATCCTCAAAATTATCTGCTATCATTTATTATAACTTTCAATTGAAAAGGATTTAATTATATATCAGAGAAGCACTAAGAAAATTATCGTGGCAATTAAAACTTCATAAACATAACTTAAAAGTATGGGTGAATTTCAAGATGTTTGAAACATAAATAATACTTTAAGGCAGTTCTCAAAATTTTAGTCTCAGGACTCCTTTATACTCTTAGCAATAAACTATTATACAGTAACAAATAACATCTATTATAAAACAAAAAACCTATATTAAAAAAACTTAGAGTGACACTGATTCCCAGTATTTCACATTTCTTTAATGTCTGGCTTAACAGTACTGAGCTGGATTCTGATATATGCTTCTGCATTCAATCTAGTGCAATGTTTTAATAGAAGCAAATGAAGAAAATCTGGCCTTATGCAGGTAGGTAGTTTGAAAAAGGAGTATTGTAATAGTCTTTTTAGATAACTGTAGATATTTTTCTTTGATACTATTCCAAAATTTGACGAGATAGGTTCTCAAGTTGCAATGTGAAATCTAAAACCATATTAATAAACGTTTTATACTCTGTTATATTAAATCCATTTGTCTACCTAGCCTGTGTACAGAACTTTTACTCCTATATGACTTTATAACATTCCGCATTGGTCACTTGGCAGATATTAGTTCACTGAGTTATAGAGGTCTTTCAAATGCTGATACTTTTCATTATACCAACTAAAAAAAAAAATCACAATTGTTAATATTATAATTAATAGTTAATCTTATAATAATCTTATAATAATTATTGATCTTATTAAAAAAGTTTTTAATTTGGGGGAAAATGTTTTCAAAATTCTGACTTTTGCTAGAAAGTTCAAATTTGACAATTAATAACAAATTCTGTCAGTTGTTCTCCTTGAAGAGAGGCTCATATTGTTAATTTTCAAAAAAAAATGTCTGCCAAATACCCATGTCTGAATAACCATAGCTTATCTATTAGTTATTCTTTAAGTAAAAATGTGTTCCATAAAAGTCAGCTAGTTCAGCTCATAACTCAAATAACCCACAAATGTTTACCTTGATACAACCATACTTTGGTATGCAGCATAAGTGCTTTATGGGTACTTTCCATTCATTACACAGAAAATTAAAAAGGACATGTAGTCAAGAGTGGAGATGTGAAGATTTAAAGAGACAATGAAAAAAAAGCACCTAATACCCCAAATGGTATGTAAGTACTAAAGTATAGTTTTTCTTTCTCTGTTCTCATAAATTACTATATATTCTTTCTACCTTTACTTCTTAAATTACTAAGAGTAATAGTCTACATTCATTTTCATTTTCTCACTTAATTCCTCTCAGCCTAACTTCTACACCTACCACTCTACTGAGTCAGCTCTTCTTAAAGCTAACCATGAATCATATGAATCATCAAATCCAAAGACCTTTTCGTAGTCTTTATGCTCTTAAACTCCCAGAAGCATTTGACATTATAAATTGTAAATCTCTCCCCTCCTTCGGGTTCTGTGAATCACTTACTCTGGTCCTCTTGCCCTTTTGAACATTTCTCTTATAGAATCTTTTCTTCTACCTGTCCTGGTAAATATAGAAATATCCTAAGGTTGTACTACTGCTCAATCGCTCTTATTTTACATTTTATTACTGTTGAACATAGTTTAAAGAGTCACATAGTCCTGTACGTCATGTTAGAAAAAAAAGCAAACAAGCAGAGTTACCATAAACCTGAATGTACGTTTGGCCCAGTATAAATAAAAAATGCTATGATTGTACTTAAATTTACTTATTTAAAATTAAACGTTAAACAAAAAATTTTTACTTAAATTTACTTAAGTTAAAAAAATATTTTAAAAATATTATGACTTAAAAGCTTTCCAAAGATCCAATTTACTTTCTAATGACCTAGCTTTAGATTTTTTTCACAGTTATTAATTTACGATTAAATATTGTAATTACCAGAGTTATAGAGTTAAATCCTTCTTTCTATTCTATTTCTGCATTCTCGTTTGTACTCTACTCCCCCAGGGGGGTGGGGTTGGGGTGGGGCGTGGTCATAATAGCATGTGGAGCTCTTAGGACACAGGAAATTATACTAAAAAAGGAAACTTGATTCTTATAGCAGTTATTGTTTTTAGAAAACAGCAGAGATTGAGCCAAAAATCAGGAATTAATTAAAATTGATGACTGAATTTTGTGATTTGGCAGGTTACTTGAGATGTCCATTTTTTCTTTGCATTAAAAGGGTTCTACTATTTGTCACCGTTATTTTTATATACTAGCTACTCAACCTATAAGAAGCACACAAATAAACCCTAATCTATGCTGCTGCTGAAGCTAGAATTGACCCCTATGCCCACTTATAGACAAAAATACTTTTGGAGTGGGTAGCCTTAGCCTGAATGACTCTAGATTTGCAAAGAGACGAGAAGAGAAGCAAAAATTACTAGGAGAGATGATGCATCACAGAAAAATTGGAGATAATACTGACAATTGTGGAAGGGTGGGCAGAAGTCAACAGAATGGCAAAAACTTTAAGATTAGTTGCTTTCATAAATTTTGCTGCAAAATTGACTCAAGATAAGAGGATTTAGAAAGTTTTAAAATTAGAAAATTTATATTATGAAAGAAACTTTCTCCTAAATTCTTAACTTCTGAAAGAAAATAGGGGCTTTTTGTGTCTCCTATGTCCTGTTCCTAAATAGTGACACTCCAGAGGCAGTTGCAGTCTTTACCAGCTTATAAGAGATAGTTCTTTTTATCTAGCTGAATCTCATTAGCTATTCTAAACCAAGGAAGAGGAGGACAAATGAAAACACCATAGTGTAATTAACTAGCGTTAATTACTATTCCATATATTTCTTTATAGATATATGCCTCTATGTGCTTTATAATTAAAATTTAGTAATAGTTTACTTTTTCAGGATAACTTTCAAAATACATGGTGCTTTATTGGTTACCTACCGAAGATCAAGACCTTGATTTTGCCAGATATTTTCCATAATGCGGATAATTTGAAGTGTTAGCATATCTTGCCGTAAATCTGAAATTCAAATAATATGTACCACCACTTAATGCCATAAATGCAAATTTGGGTATCATGTCATTATACCGTTTTCAAATGGAAAATAAAGCAAGCTACATTTACTCTTCGATATAATCTATAAGGAAGCAATATTCTGATTCTTTAACCCATTTCTAAAGTATTGCATAAACCCATCTATGTAACAATGTAGGGTAAGCTAAGCTGTTTCACAAAAAATTTACTTTAAAATATTTAAAGTACTTATTTTTCTGAATTCTTAAATTTGAATATTTATATTAAAATATTGAGTTAACAGAATTCAGTGCTGAAATGTCATTTCCCAATGGAAACTCATCAGTGATTCCCTGACTACTCCCCCACAACCTGTTCTCCATGTAAATCAGGGCTTCCTCTTACCTGATTCCTTAGCAGATTACACTTTTCCTTTGTACCATGGTTATAATTTTATTTTTGTAATTATTTGTTAACATCTCTCTTTTTTCTGTTAGACTGTAAGTTTTAAGAGGGCAGGGATTGTGTTTTATTTATTCTTATAACCCCATGGTCTAGCACATCAAATATTTATGGAATAAATGGATGCACAAACAGCTAAGCAAATGATAGTCAGAAACTGATTTCAGGCTTTCTGATCCTAAACCTAGTACTTCTTTTCAATAATTACACATACATATTCTAAAGGTTAAGACATCTTCTTAATATTATATTTTACCACGTGCATATTCTTTAAATGGCTTTCAATAGTCTTCATGATTCATAAATATCCTGTATATAAAAAGACATCTAAATTCATGCATCATAAGTTCATTAATACTCTTCCTTACCATCCCCATTTTTGAAGATGATCTCATTGTTCTGAAAGAGTAACTCTGACATGATGTCTGGGTTCTCCCAATTCAACCACAGTGGCCTTTTTGCAGAGGACATAATTCGACACTCTTCAAGCCTTTAAAATAGTGAAAAAACTTTACTAGGCACCTTACCTTTGTTATTCTTTTATTCTCAAAATTATTTTAAGATATGTACACAATATAGTTTTCTGAAGTGTTATAAAAATTTTAAACTTTCTACTCAATTTCATTTATGAATTCATTTCTCAGGGACTATAAAGAAAAAATAAATACTAAGCATAAAAATTTCTTATATAATAGCATGTGAATTTTCAACAAATATAGGGATATATCATTAGTGTTACAGGTGTTACATTCCATTTCTTAGCCTATGATACCAAAATTCTGGCCATAGAGTGTTTTTAACTCTATTATTAAAGTAGTAAACTCATTCTGAATAAATGCAGTCCTGAACTTAAGAAAATTTTACAACTCTTATTTTACAGGGTAGGAAAATGGGACAGGGAGGCATACATAATCGAACATTGTAATTATAATGGACATTTTGACTTTTCTCAAGATTTTCTCCAGAAAGGTACCTATTTAAGTATATCAGTAAAATTTCCAATAAAGTACCTTACCTGAGATTTCCTAGTTGATGAGCAGGGTTTAGAGGAGATAGAAAGCCCTGCAGAGCATCCATGAAATCTGGTCGCCGCATTTGCTCAACTAAAAACTTCATCTGTACCTGATAAATAAACATAATCATGGTTAGAAACTGATTTTGTAAAAAGTAAAATTAAGTGTTAATTTTTTTTATACACTGGAACCTCAGTATTATGTAGGCTTTGAATCCATATCCTGGATTGGCTGCATTCTAATTGGAAGAGTTTGTATAACACAGCAAGCACCCAACTCAGGCAGTTTCTTTTTTTCTTTAGTTACAAGTAAATATAATACATTTTATTCTTTAAAGGCAGCTGAGTCCACTCCTGCTCACAATTCTGGCATCAGAAACAGTATAGTTATTCTCTGTTAACCTGTATTTTGTTATACACCAGAACTTCAATAAAATCAACTCAGTCACATTGAATAACATTTAGATTAAAACAATAACTTTCTTTTAAAGATTTTTTTTTCCTCAAGCAATATTAATGAAAATGCTGGAAAAATTCATTCAGTACTCTTAATTTACATTCTCTGTAAATTTACATTCCTTTGGGGACTCACTAATAAACTGGGATTTTTTTTTTTATTGTTGTTGCTGTTTTCATTTCACTAGAGCTGAGAAATGATCTCACTTTTTAGTATAAATATAGTGAAATAAATAAAGGATAAAGAGTAGTAAAAGGCCATGAAAAATCTTCACATTTTATATTCCTCAGAAACATTAAGTTAGACTGCAGATGACTATAGTATGTGATGTATTCACTGAGTGACTGAGTCCATTTTATACTTAGAAATGTAAAAACTATTTCTTTACACTCATTTTCAAGGTCACTTTACTAAAAGATAAAAAATGACACAAAATAAAGAAAAATTATTTTTAAAAGTTAGGGCTATATAAAAGATAAAGGAAGAGAAAGAAGAGAGAACTAACATTTACCGGGCACCTCCCATGTTCGAAGGGACTGTGACAGGTGCTTTGCATATCTCACATAATTTAATTCTCACAACAACCCTATGAAGGAAGTATTACTCATATTTTCCAAACGAGGAAAATGAATCTCAAAGACTAAATAATGTGTCTAACATTACACAGCTGAGAGGCAGTGGGACTGGGATCCAAATCCTAATATGCTTGATTCTAAGACACATGATCTGCATATATATCAGGTTCTCAAATAACCCTACCCCATTTCAATGAAGAGAGTCTCAAAAACAAACTAAAGAGTCACATACCTTTTGTGTTTCATCCTTCTTCTCTTGTTTGAGAATGTCAGTTAAGTTAATGAGCTTTTCCATAGCCTCAACTTGCCTATTCAGGTGCTTCAAATACATTCCACATGCACGACAATAGGACTCCAAAAGTAGGCCAAATCTCTGACTAACTGTTTTATTGTGCATCTCAGATCTAAAAGGACAGTGAAAAATTAAAAGAAAAAAAGACCATGTGTATATATATATGTACATGTACATATACATACATACATATATAGTCAAGTGAGTATATAATCTTTTTTAAGAAAAGAAAAAAACGATTTTCTAAATCCATTAAATGTTATAATCATACTAACAACAAAATGATTCAAAATCTATCATTTAGAAGTAAAACAATCAAGGGTTTCAAGTAGTTCCTGAAAAATGTAAATTTAATAAACTGGCTTTTAGGTTTATTTCAACTACTTTTCACTTACTTATCTCAGCACAAGATATATAAACATGAAAAAAAGGAAAGTAGGCACAAAAATAATAAAATGAATAGAGAAGGAGTTAATAACTCAGTGAATACTATTTGACTCTGCTAGCATATATGTCCCTTTCTATACTATGTCTGAATTTATTTTAAACACAGCTTCGAGATTCCACGTTTAATTTATTTTAACATTTAAAAAATCATGTTAATTATAAATCTGTTTCTAAATTTAGAAAAAAAGGATATGACCCCCAACTCTGAGTAGCAGATATATCATAATCTACAAAATACTTTTTATACTTAATTAGCTTGTTTTCTAGTAAGAAACTTGAGAGTTTGTTATTATTCTTCTAAATTCCAAGGTAAGAGTTTTTTTCTTTTTTGGGGGGGATATTTTAATCCACATATACAGTGAAACCAATTGCAACATAAATCAACATTAATCTAGCAAATCTAACTTTGCTTAAAGTAGAATCAAAATCTTTAAAAATATTTCAGCCCTCGTTCCTGTATAAAATTCAGTTTTGAATTTTCCTGCTTAGTTAATGTTAAGATAAAAAGTTGAGGGGAAGCTCATCATTGGTTCAATATACGTTCAGTATAAAAAACTCTTCCAAACAAAAAGTTTGGTATGTAAATAATATATACTTATACATATGTTAAGAAAGTAGTATGTATCTAAAGAATTTAATGAGAAAATAGTTGAACTTACTTTAAATGCCAAAAGAAAAAGTGCCCAATCCTTTGATTAGTCAATGCTTTCTTGAGTAAAAATCTCACAAGCAAGTTATCCAAATACTGTTCATATTTTAGGACCTATGTGTTTGAACACAAACAGACAAAAAACAATTTTACATCAAACAGGGTCAGTTTTTGCATGGTTGGATTTAAATAAAATTTTTTGGAAAGAGAATAGATACTACTGGTAACGAAATTCATTTTCAAAAAAGCATAAAACCAGTTAATGCAGTAGCTTTTGGAAGTTGAATGGATTTAGAATAAAACATTTTTCTATTTTACATTATTTTACCTGTACTAGCTGAATTAGGTACTGAGAAAGTTTGTCATCTGTTAAATATTTTTCCAAGCATCGAACAGCAAAGCCTCGAACCATAGGATCTGGGTAGTTGCAGTCTAGAAGCTCCATAGCCTGTTCAGGTTTGATTGGAGGCCAATCTTTTACCAAGCAGTACATCTGTGCATGAGAAATACCATAAATCATATTTATAAAGCAAAGACAGTTATGAATGAACTTTCTAAGACAGTGCCTTAATTTCTTAATTTAAAATTAGTTTAGATAAAAGCCCCTCTTATGAATTAAGTGCTTACAATGTTCAGTTCTAATTAATTTTATCAGTGGAAGTGGTGTGAATAGTATTTTTCTACACATTACTATTATTAATTAATTTAAAACAGTATATTTCACCTCATACTTATTCAGACTTCCTGAGAGAAAACAATTTGAGCAACATACCAATTGTGCAACATACCAATTTTGTGCAACAGTTATTCAGTAATCTCAAACACACATTTACCTGAGCTACTTCATCTCTAGAATTCCATTTAACGGAGAGAAGCAATTTAGGTAGAATTTCAGGGATAGTTACACAATAGTGTCTGTGTGGAAAAGACAAAACAAAACAAAAAATTCTTTTATGTTATTCAAAAGGCCTAGATGTCTAAATTTTCAACTATGCAATCTTTAAGAAGTTCCAAACACTTTAAAACTCTCTTGCCATTACTAGCCTTCCTTAAAATAAAAAGAAATCAGTATTTAACACTTTAGTTGCATATATAGGTACATATATACTTAGACGCAGTTATAATGGCAATGGGGACAAAAGGAAAATCCAAATGGAAGACAGATACTTACTTAGGAAAAATTATGAGTTTATTGAATAACACTTTTTATAAAGCTCTTTTTATTCACCTGCTTATGCAACATGAATCATGAGAAGAGTCACCACTTCTACTGTGGTCAGTAGACAGAATTTATGTTTTAATGGACTTCATGCAGAAATGCACTACAACTGCTTTATTTAAATAAACCAGTGTGCACTTACCGAGTAGTAGGATAATTTCTTCGTAAATAAAAATAAGGCATTACACTATTACTTGAGGAAATATGAGAAAAAAAAAATAGAGAAAACTCCTAAGAACTGAAATATCTGGAACAACTAAGTCGCAACTAAATTGATCTAAAACTATGGAATATTTTTGTGGATTCTGAATTTTATTAAAAAACAAAAATAAAAACCAATCCTAAAAATAGTCATATTAGGAATTTAGAATTTGAAAAAGCCTTCAATGTGCAAAGTTAGTCCCAATGCAGCACGGTTTTCTAGAAATACTGGTCTATGTCCACAGCTTTAAAAAGATCAGCCGAAGTCAGTTCTTTCTTCTGTAACATAAGACAGAAACAGAGACCCTCCATGTTAACACTTACCTGTGGCTCCACAGAAAATCTTTCTCTTGCTCAGTGATTTCAGATAGAGGATCTCGGGTACAAATTGCTCGGAGCTGTTCTTTATCATTTTCCCTTAATTCGTTGTCTCTGGCTAGTCTGTTACTCTGTAAAATAAAGAAATATCTTATGTAATTTTCTTTGCCACATTTGCCACCCAGAATTCATGACTGACCTACAAAAAAAGAAAACTGTCAATAAACTTTATATTGCTTATTAACTGTTGTGAAATAGTTTACTATTCTCATTGAAATACTTTATTTTCAGGGAAAGGGAAGAATCAACTTAAGATAGTATTTATGGAACAAATCCAATAACTTACTTGGTTAACATTACCATCGATCACAGAACAGAAAATGTCAAAGTTGGTCAGGGAAAAGATCTGACTGGGATACTAGGGGATAGTAGTGAATAATTTACTTCTCATTCTGATGAGGCCCTTTTCTAGTAGTCTATTAACTAATCTGTTAATATTTCTAGAATAAGAGAATAAGAAATAGTAAAATAATAAAATAAAAACATAAATTCTTTCATAATCTTTGCTTGAATATATCCTTATAATCACTCAAGGCTTTCAAATTTAAAAGTAAAAATAAATAAGGGAAAAAAGGAAAAGATACACCCCCATTAATATACCATATATTGAATGTACAGAGACTAAAAAGAAAATACCATAACTTTCAGTATAATTCTAAAATTCCAAGTAATGTACTTATTTCCTTTAAATATAGATAAAGTAACTACATAATGAATAATTATGAGTGTATTACACTACATTATGCAAAACAAATATACATCGCTTAGAATGGGTTACACATATTCCTCATGGCTAAAAATGAAAGCAAATATTCATGCTACTTGGTTTTTATACATTTAAAAATTGTTAATTTATCTAACAGCATAAAGAAATTACTGGCACATATTCATTCAACAAATATTTATTAAAACATGTATTGTGTGTCTTCTCTTGTTCTTACTGTTGGGGTCATAAAATAGTATAAGAACCTGTACTAACAGGGCCTCCATTATAGTGGGAAATTAAATGAACATATAAGAAAAACATTGGAGAGTTGATATACTCTGGGTGATGTCACTGAGAATGAGTGGCTACTTTAGAACGGGCATTTGAAAATGGCCTCCAGGAAGCTAGTATTTAATTCGTAATCTAAATGAAAAGAAAGGACCAGCCACACCAAGATCAGGAAAAGACTACTGCAGATGGAGGGAACAATGAACATGCCCCAAAGAGAGAATGAGTTGGGTGAAGGAGAAACAGTAAGAAGGCCAGTGAGCCTGAAGCCCAGTCGATGAGGGAGAAGAGTGACAGGAAGTCAAGTTTAGAGCATTAAAATTTGTGGTCAGGGTAAAAGGTATGGATTTTTAGTGAAAGCTATTTAAAGGATGAATACTGTGATTTGATTTATGTTTAATAAAGATTATTCTGGCTGCTCTGTGGAAGGAGGGAAACCAGTTAGGAATCTATTGCAATCGTCCAGGTAAGAGAAAATAAATACTTAATCTTCAATTCACCAAGAAAAGTAGTCGTTAACTATTTACCATCTGGGTCTAATAGACTCTTAATTCTTTTATGTTACTTACTTATTTTTATTTTTTATATTTTTAACATAAAATAATTTAAAGAATAAAGTGATGTGGAAAAACAATTATGCTAGACATCTTAATAAGAATTTAAGCATAGTAAAACCAAACTTATAATCCAAAGAGGGCAACACCTTTTGAATGCAACTACTTGCTTGCTCATTAACTACCGTGCATGATCTTGGAACATATCCATTTTGTAAATACTGGTTCCAGATTTTAAATACATATCTACTAAGTTCTAGCTTATCATTACTTCTGGTTTTTCTTCTCATATTTGCATGTCAAAATGCAATACTTTTGCAAACTTTGGTAGTTCATAATTTCATTAGAATGGCCATTTTCTTTGCTTCATAATTGTAAAACATTTCTATTTTCTATTTACATATATCAGAATAATCAATTCAAGGAATTTAAAAATTTCTACATCACCTTTTTCCTTCCAATCATCTTTATATATACATTTGCCTGAAGCATTTATCCACTTAGAAAGTGTATCATAAAAGATGGAAAGAATACTGTAAAACAAAAAGTGTAGTCCGGACTCTTATAAAAAAGATATCATGTGATGAAGTCATTCCCGTCGAATGACTAATTGAATGTGAATACCATATTTCCTTTTTGTCCTTGGAAATATATTGTTTACTCATCATTTCTTGAGCTTGAGAAAATTCATCTAGGTTATTGTCATCTGAATTTTTACTTATATGATCAATTCACCATTATCATTAGAGTCTAAAGTTGTGGTTCTTAACTGAGGTGATTTTGTCTGTCCCCTCCACTTCCCAGGGCCTTGAGATTGTTTGGAGACATTTTTGATTGTTACAACTTGGTCTACTGGCATCTAGTAGGTACAAGCCAAAGATGCTGCTAAACTTCCTATAATGCACAGAACAGCCCCTACAACAAAGAACTATTTGACCCAAGATGTCAACAGTTTCGAGATTGAGAAATTCTGCTTTAGAGTGCTATTATCTGTCTCTTTGCATTCTGATTTGTCTAAAAATTGTGAAATACTTTCTTCTGTCAATTTTCTTCTCTTTGTCATTATGAGTGGAAAGGGAAAATTTCTGAATTCTAAACAGTGTTCAATGAGAACCTAAAAAACAACAAAAAACTGCAAAGGTGGTGTTTGCAGACTTCTTTATACCTCTAGAAAGATGATGGAAGACACTGGGCAATGCAATTAGAAGAATGAAGGATGATATAATATTGATGATTTATTTCACTATTTTATCATATTTCTAGGCTATTCTATCCTATGTTTTTATATTACTTTAGTTTTTTTTAAGTATAGTTGGAAGTATTTGATGAATATTAATTAAATAGGAAAACTAAGGTCCCATAACATACCTTAGATTTATAAAAGTTTCAACAGACTCAATATTAGTTGAAAGATAAAATCTTTAGTTTATTATAAAAATATTTTTTTAAAAAGTTCTAGCAAAAAAAATCATAAAATATCAATCCTCACAAAGTGTTAGATCTGCTCAAAAAAGAAACTCAAAAGTTAAAATTGGCTCCAATAGACCCTGATAGTAAATTGAATTCAATGGCTGAATGAATAAAATAGGAGAGAATGAGTTTTCAAGTGACTTTACTCTTGTAACTCAGTTTATAGGTATAACTAATTGGACAAGACTATGGACATGTCATGGGCATGCTTACCCCGATAAAAAATTAAGGAATTCCTGTTCAGTTATAACAGAATGGTTAAGAGTAAGAGGTTCAATACTTATTAAAGAGTGATATCAAATAAGTTATTTAGATTCCTTAAGCCTACACTTCCTTACTGGTGAAATAAGGATTATATTAATACTTACCTTTATAGAGATTGTTTTTAAAATAAATAACACGTGAAAAGTGATTGGTGTGGCATTTGGTACACAGTAAGCACTTGATAAATATTAACAATTCTCGCCAAAGAAATAAACTTATAGAATAGTGGCTACGTTTTTCAAGAAAGAGAATCTCTTTTTAATGTCAAAAAGTTTATACTTTTAGTATCTGATAGAATTCAGTAATGATTTTAAATTAATTTGTACTTAGTATATAAAGAATTTATTATACTGCAATATTGTCCTAGAGCCTATAGTAGCTATGCCAGTGTAATTAAAACACATAAAACCCTTTCATACATACAAAGAGTATGTATCCAAATCCGCTGATTATAATTGATACTTAAGAAAACTCAGTGATTTGCCTTACCAGTCCTGCGTGGGCATAACTAAATCCTGCTTCTCGGGACACAGACCAATTGGCATGCTCTTCAATCACTGACATATCTGGAAACTTTACACTGCTGAATTTTAACCAGTCAAACTCCAACTCTAAGCATGGAGTTTCCTAGGAGATGCGATAAAAGTTATTATATATATTGTGTTTGACTGTCATAAAAAGAAAAAAATTATAATTTATGAAAATAAAAAGCTTACTTTATTTGGATTTGATCCAGTAACACCAATAGGGTTCAGTAAATCTTCTAATCCATGAGGTACTGGCCAAAGATTCAGAGCCATTTTTCCAGATACTAGAGTATCTGTGTAATCAAACAAATTTATATTTCCCCAGGCCAATGGGCAATGTTCCTTAAAAAAAATAAATAAAACACAGAAAAATATTCAATACTGTGTGGATTAGAGAATGTGTTTTAAAACCCTTTTCTTCCTCAGCAAGGAGAATTCAACAACTGCCTCTATAACAAACCACATTAATTTTTTCAAAATATAAGAACTTGCTTTCCTTTTTCTCATTTGAAATGGTATTTTCTTTAATTATTGGTACAAAATATTAACCAAAGCATGCAAGATATATATTTGAATGTGGTCATTTAACAGATATTTGTGTGTAGTCGACTTTGCATGTCTAAAAAAATTGTATCAGTATGATCTCAGGACATACTCACTCATCATAAATAAATTCTAGAAGGGAGCCCAAAGTATTCTTCTATGATATATTTATTTATTAAAATGTTTTGTTTATTTTGGATAAAGCAAAAACAATATTCATTTTTTGACAAAAATCCAATCAGCAGTATAATTAGGAGTTTCTAGAGGTGAATATAATTGTTCCTTCTAAAATACTTTACCTCTTTAGCACCCTTTCGGCCTTTAACAGAACAAATGGAAAGGCAAAGTCGAGCAGCACGAGGAAGATCAGGAATGTATATATCATAATTCAGCCACTCATTCCACCTATGTAAAATTTTAAAGGAAAAAAGAATTTACCCAAAAAAAAAAAAAGGCTTTGTCCAGAGTATATAAATGACTCCAACAAAACATCAAGAAAAAAATAAAACAATAGGCATTGAAGGGAATGGACATTTCATAAGATCATATCCAAATGGCCAATAGACATGAAAAGTAGTCAATATCAGTTGTCTTTCAGAAAATGCAAAATAAAATATCATGGAGATATCACTGTACAGAGAGATTGGTTAAAACTATAAAGATTAATGATACTAAGGGATGGTAAGGATGTGTACGAGTAAATCTCATATACTGCTAGTGGAGGTGTAATTTATAAACCAATTTTGAAAGCATAATCTACTAAAACCAACCTATGATTCACTCTACCTCTAGTATAAAACCAGATAAATTTGTGCATTTGTGAACAGAATGTTAGTAGAATTATTTGCAATATCCCCAAACTGCAAACAATCTAAATATCCAATAATAGAATAAATTGCAGTGCATTCATATAATGGAATACAGCAATGGAAATGAATACCAGATGAAATCTTGCAAATATTGAGTAAAAGAAGACAGACCAAAAGAATATCTACTCCTTGAGTCTATTTACATAAAACTGAAAAATGGTCAAAACAATCAATAGTGTTACAAGTCAGGATAGTTTAACTGTGGGGTAAAGAGAAGGTTAATGGATTGGGAGAAGATATGAGGAGGGGCTTCTGGAATGCTGTTAAAAGTTCTATTTCTTGATCATTGTAGTGGTTATATGGGAATTCACTTTGTAATAACTCACTAAACTCTGTAATAATGATTTGTATACTTTTATGTATTTGTGCTATACTTCAGTTAAAAAAAATCAAATTAGCTTATTAAAAAAAGCAAATAGAAAAGAGAAACTAAACAAAATGATTTTCCTATTATATTACAATATTTAACTACTTTTATATATGATGTAGTTTTATTCAGAAGAACCCATTAATTTACATAAGTCAGTATATGAATAAAATAAAAGATATGTTAGCAGAAAGTATTTGAATTTTAGAACTACTTTGCAAGTAATAAAATTTGACATCCATAATAAGGAAAGAATGAAGTTACTATAAAAAGTGACAATAAAATTCTGTTCAAATTTTAATGATAAATTCTTTTCAATTTACTGAATGTTACATGTGAAATTGTGTCTACATTTGGTGGACATATTTGTAAAGAGCCAAATAAAATAGTTGTTATATATTTTTCAAAAACATTATAAGCATTGGTTAAGAGTATGGACTCAGAACTCACACTACCTGGAGTAGAATCTTGTTTCTACTCTTTTACTCCGTGTGTGACCCTCGCTTTGTCTGTTTTCTTCTTTGAAATGGGACTAATAATAGTACCTACTCTCATACAGTAGTTGTAAAGATTAAATGAGATAACATAAGTAAATCGATTAAAAGAGTAACTGGTCCATGGTAAAAGCTGAAGTGCTAGATATTAATTTTGAAAACTCTTCAAATGGCTTCTTCAAAATTCTATTCTATTTTTTGATTATAAATGAAACAAGAATTAACAACGAAATGATATAAAAATTCTATTTTTTAATTAGCCACATTAAAATATAAAATTATCAGTAAATAAGTTCTATTTATTCTAGTATCTTTGCTTGCGTATGGATGAGGATAAAAATATATATATGATCCACTGATACAGAGAAGACTTACATTTACAATGAGGGAACTTAGCAAGAAGGAATTCTAAAGGAAAAAAGAAACAATACATGCAGGGAGAAGAAATACTGTGGGATTTGATAAGTCCACACACAGTAAATGCACCTAGGCTTTTTATTACTTTTAAATCTTTAGAATTTCTGAGTTAATGGGAAATATTCTACACACTTTCTATGAGAGCTATAGCCTATGAATGTAATTGTTTACAGTAGTATGCTAACCAAATAAAAGCATGTTTGTTCTCCTTAAACACACACAGACACACAGACACACAGACACACACACACACAAAATAAGTTCTTTATATTTAGGCAATGGTTTTATAGATATAGTCCAGATTGATTTTGATTTTGACAGATAACTGGTAACATTTATGAAGAAATCATAAGGTAATTTATCTAGCACATGGGAAGCAAAGATTTGGAACAATTAATCTCAGTAAGAATTTTAAAAATCTACTTTTCTATCTTTTTAATAACTTCATTTTTTTTATTTCTATTTTTTTGGTAAATACAAAAAAGTTTAATATTTATTTAAATATTCATACTTCTACCATAGGGATTTTACCTTTTAGACTAGAGAATTCTTGAAGAAAAGATAACAGAATATGTCTTTATGTCTTTTCTAAATGGCTTTTTTAATTTACTAAAATTTGAACATCTTAATCTTATATCATTAAATAAATTTATCTTTTACTTTTATAAAGCTAGTTTACTTTTTGGTACTTGAAACAACTAGGATAAGTCTATGCAATGTTATTTTGGGTTTTGGCTTGGGGCTTGCTGAACTTCTTAGATTGCTGGTTTTATAGTTTTTACCAAATTTGGAAAAAACATTTTTTTTTTTTTTTTACTCAAATATTGTTTTACCGTTCCTGGCACAACCACCCCACTCAACCTAGACAGTCATGCAGTATGAGTGGTAAATAAACTTTTGTTCTTCTAACAGAAATTTTAAAAGATCTGGGGATTGTTTGTTGCCACAGCATAAGTTCTAACCCAGCGGTCCCCAACCTTTTTGGCACCAGGGACTGGTGCTCCTATGAGAATCTAATGCCCGATGATCTGAGGTGGAGCTAAGGTGGTGATGCTAGCACTAGGGAGCGGCTGCAAATACAGATGAAGCTTCGCTCACTAGCCTGCTGCTCACCTCTTGCTGTGTGGCCTGGTTCCTAACAGGCCATGCATGGACTGGTAACAGTCCTGGGAGCTGGAGATACCTGTTCTAACCTACAATGGGTCAGGTAGGGTGAGGAACTATTTCCCTTCCTCCAGGTAGAGAAGGCTACCATGTCTTTGAACTTCACCTAGGCTCTAGAATGGTGGTGACCTCTAGCCACCATTCTATCAAAACTTTTTCCTAACTTTTAGGAAAAAGTCCAAATTCATTATGACATTTACTTCTGAAGGATTCACTAGTTAGCTCTATTGCTAGTCTATAAAATATATCTTTAAATTTTAATATCAATTTTAGTTCTCTTAAAATATTGCTGTTATATATTCAGAGGCAGACTTTTATTTCCAAATGATTCTATAGAGAGAGGCAGAGAAATGGCAGGATGGCAAGCTTTTGGATTACACTATCTTTTATTTCATCATTACATCTAGGCAGTAATAATTTAAAATGTTCCCAGTAACTCTGCCTCCTCCTAAGAAATTGATTTATTCCTAAAGACTCTTTATTTGAAAGTCATATTTATCTATTCCTGGAGCGATGTGAAGAAAACTGCCTCAGAGTCCAGCTCGAAGTTGTTTGCCAACTCTCACTTCTCCTTAATGTAAATGGAGATTAAGAAAGAAGTAAAATGCTAAAATAAGCTTATGAATCTAATGTGGAAGAATTATCAATACAAAATTGTAACCGTATTCTGTTCTCTCCTTGATCCAATGAGAAGAGAGAATCAGAAAAACCCTACAGATCAAATTTTACAGAGAATCAATAAAGTGATTCTGTGATTGACAGTCATTTGATAGGAAATCCTTATGTTCTATATGTAAATGTCTGGTAATTTATATGACTTGTATAAAACTAATGATGTGAACTATACTACTTTTCTTGATTACTTTGCTAAACACTAATATGACTTTTGGAGACACAAATCCATATACTTCCTTACCTGGGATTGGAACAAGGTACTCTTTGAGTGTTCACATTATCACATAAGGGTTCTCCTCCATGGTAGATACCTGTTCTAACGTAGATCTGAAAAAAGAAAAAAAAAATGTATGTGCATACAAATATATACACACATTCATACACGATACACACACAGCACACATACATACTAGACAGAACCAACATTAAACAATATCAAAATAGTGTAACTGATGTGAATGAGAGAATCCATTAGAAGTTTCTGTTTAGGTATAGCTTTTCGGTTCTTTTCTTCACAGATATAGTAAGTTAATACTGATGCAGATTCTTCACCAAAATTTGCTGCTGCTTTCTAGGGGGACATCAGACTAATAAAAATCGGTACAGGCCCACAATTCCTTTAGGCCAGGTACGGAATTCAGTTTTTCATATTTTAAAAAGATAAACTGGTACATATACTAAATATTACTTAACACTTTCGGCAGTTAGAACAACACTCCATGAAGATACTAATATTTCTTCAACAAATACATGAATATTTATAGTAAGTAGGATAAACAAAGACTATAAAAAACCTCGCTTCAGGTCGGGCCAGGTTTTGCTGCCAAATATATTCTGTAAAACTTCTGGTTTTAAGAATTCAGAATTATGGATATTAGAATATTAGAATTAAGGATATTAGAATTACAGACAAAGAACAATAAACTGTGTGATAGCTGAGGTAGGTGGGTGATTTTCTAGCCATCTGAAGACATACTGCAGGTCAAGATTATTATGTTGTTCAATAAAAAAGGTTTATATAAGATAATAAGTGTCAACATGACTTTACCTTGTCAATGTCTCGAATATTTACATTCACATAGGTTGCACAAAGAATTTTTATTCTGAGTGCGCTATTTATAACCCAAAGGGATTTTGTAGATGTTTCTCCATTCATATACGGTGTAGCTGTGGAGATACGTCTGGAATAAGACGGCATTGTAAAACAGTCCATTGGCAGTTGAGAGTAAAGGCTTTCTTTAGCCATCAGCATCAAATTGGGCATCCTCCCAAGCATTATACAGCTTCTTATGTACTGTAAGAGATTAAGAGGGATGGGGAGAAGCCATTTTTTATAAGGTTTTTCATTTTAAAAGCAACATATAAGAGTATTATGAGAGAATTTACATACTAATTAGCAAAAATGATAAGAAAAATCAAACATTATAGACCATGTTACTTAGAAGCTGTGATATTTAATATTTAAAATACTGACATTTGGGAGTTAGGTTACAACAAAGGATCAACCAAGCACCTCTTGGAACAGAAATTGTGTGTGTGTATATATATATATACACATTTCTGCTTTTGATACTATAGTTCTACTCTTAACTGGAAGCAAAAAGGAAAAAAAGAAAAAAGAAATTAAAAACAAGGATCTGAGGATACTCATTACGAAAACACTGCACTTGTTAAAGGAAAAGCAGTATCATTTAGTAAGCTTCTATCATTCAATCTATTAAGCCACATTGATGTCCAGTCAAAGGATTGTTGACTTCTTGCTCTTGTCCCAAAATCTGAGAAACATTTGTTAAAAAATAAAACTAAACAAAAAAATCAGAAAGAGAGAAGATTGATAAAATTATGGGCTATATTAAAAACAAACTACATTGGTCTGAACCTTGAAATGGTAGTTAGGATAAAAATTTTCAATATAAATGCTACTGCATATATATTATAATAGCCTATTTTCTTACCCATAAGCCCCACTAGACTGTAAGTAACCTGAAGGCCAAAGCCATGTCTTGCTTGGTATCATAAATCAGTACTCAGCATATATTTGGTGCAAATATAGTTTCTTCTTATAGTTATTTATTTAATGAATAGAAAAAGAGTAGGGTAGTATTAGTAGTATATCTTAAGTAACAATAAATCATGGATTTTTGAAATATTTAATAGTGCTAGTGCCATTGCTTGAGAGGTTGGTGTAACTGCCAATATGTTTTTATGTTTGTTTGTTTGTTTTGACAAAGGGCATGTTTACTTTATTGCTTACATTGCATATTCAAATAAATCCAAAAAAACCCTTTTTAAAAGAAAGGCACATGAAAAGCCTTTTGTGCAAGTTCCATATTATTTAAAATTCCTATTGGCTAATAAAAGTATTACCACTATGGAACTAGAGCTATCTAGAAAGCACATGACACATTTTTTTGTGTGCAGAATACCTAAAACATTATTACTCCTTACCTCATGGCACACTTAAACTGTCACCAAATCAAATGTTTGTATCTGAATAATATTATAACTACCGTTACAACTGCAAAAATGTTAATCAGCTTATCCACATATGTACAGTTGGATCCCCAAATATTAATTATATACAATTAAAGGAAGAACGGCATCTGTTCTTTCAAATTTTTTGATTTCTCAAATTAAATAATTATAGTATAAAAAAAAACTTATGAATACTATTTACTAATATTATTTATTTTTCAAAAAGTATGTCCTGAAAATACAGATATTAGTTCCCAACATGATTACTTTTTATATTTAAAATTAATGTTTTTCAAACTTGTTACTCACCTTATACTGACTCAGAGGATATTTTTCTAGGAAGTATTCATCACATCCACATACTTTTAAAATATATTTGCCCTGATATTCTAAAACACAAAGTTTTAGTTGTTCAGATGATAACAACATACTTCGAGTTTTTTTCCTGATTGCTTCAGCAATTACTTGTTCTGGCACACAGTCATGATTGATTTTCAGAGTATACTTCTGCTTGTCATTATTTGGAGAAACTATTACCCAAATCACCACTATTATTTGCCCTATAACAGGAAAACATTATTAGATGCAATCGCCATATATTTCATTTTTCAAGAGACAAATTTCAAAAAGTATGCATTACCATTACTCTAACCATAATCAGAAATGACTTAATCAAACCAATTAAATACAGATAAATCTTCAAATCTGATAGGGCCTGCCAGTCCATACCCAAATCTCATGTTTTACATCAAGCACAAAAAATTGACTAGTGGGTCGCAAGGACCCGAGTCCAAGCTAATTTCCATTCTATACCATGGAATATTTCATGGATACTATTCCTGTGAAGAGTGACTCATGACGGTACCAAAGGTTCAACAGTATCGAAAGTGGAAGGGTTTTTGGTAACTATGGGAAAGAATCATGGAGACTTACAGAAAGATGCTGAATCAGAATGAGAGAAGAGATGGGAGAGGAAGGAAAAGATGAGAGTTTCTAGTTTTTTCTTTTTAAGACAAAGTAAGCCAGGACACACACACACAAAAAGAGGATACAAATGGAAAGATTAAAACTATGTTAGTGTTCACAGTACAATAACTTAATGTTGGAAATTTTTAATAAACAACTTTAGGGAAAATGAAAAGACCATTCTATTTTAAAAAGTATGCTAGAGCTGAAAAGAATTTCAAATAGAGATGTTACATTGCATTAAACTACTTTAAATAATATGAGTGAAATAGCAATAAGACTATTTTATGCCATCAACAGAATTTTATATTTAACAGTGTATGAGAGTTAACCTTTTCTATAACTTCAAATTAAAACTGTTCCTTTGTTACCTTGAAAAACATATTTTTCTGATATATTTCATTTCCAAAACAATATAGTTGATATATTTTCATGTTCACTTAATTCTAGAAATTCATATATCAAGTGTCAAAAGTCTACTTATATATCATCACCCATTATGATCAGATTTAATTACTACATTTAATATTAAGAAATTTATTTTTCTTTGTATTTATGATAAATAATATGATGTAAAGTGTTTCCAAAATTTCATAAAATGTTTCTATTTATTCTTGTTTTTATCTATAAAAAAATAATGAGCTGTAATTCTGTAATAGTGAATTTCAAACTCAAAAGTTCTTTAGTTTTACGCTGAGATAAACAATTCACCAAGGGATCAGCACCGTATGCACACAATTCAATTAATAAATATTTATTGTACACAAGCTGTATACCTGGCACTGAACTATATCTTGTCAATATAAGCAATCCCTGACTTTAAGTAGCTTATCATCTAACTGGGGTAGAAAATATAGACACAGATAGAAGTTTTCACTGTAGACTGACAATTTTCTTACCTTTATCTAATTTATTATATATGTGCTTTGGCAGTTCAGGTGAAGATTCTACATTTGGAGGATAGACATACATTGCTCTACTATGAGGTGAGTTAAGATCCCTAAGATCCACAGCTTCTTTACAAACATTCAGAATATTCCTTCGGAAGTCCTGAACTTCTGGATCTTTAACCATATCGAATTCACATACTGGCATGCCAATAGCAAAGCCTTAAAAAAATTACACAAAGAATATTACATTCCATTAAATTCACAGTATGAACATGTTTCTTATAAATAGAAAACTTGGTAGATTTGGAAGATCACAATAAAGAAGTTTCTCTAGGTTTAAAAAAATTTTGATGAATATAGTAAGAGTTAAGGACTCAAATATTTTTAATTGTTAAATAAAATATATTTAACAATTTGGAGCAAAGGCAGCAAACATTATCCATATCAATGACTTTTTAAAGAATAAAAAAACAAAACAGATATAAAGAATCTAGGTCAACCCTACATATGATACTTCTTAGAGAAAACTTTACAGAGTAATATCAAGGTGTTAAAAATAATTCCTTAGCCCAACAGTCAAAAAATACTTTAGATTTATAATGATTTTTATTTCAAAATCTATTTATTTAAGTTTACAAAGGTAATTAACTGGTTCAGACAGAAATATTTTGGTAATTAGAAAACAGTTGTTTCACAGTTATTTGCATTTAGAATAGGATGACAATGCCCTTTAGTCAAAAATTATATCATACCAATTTCTCGATTGAGGATCTTTTCTTCACGGTTGCCTACTGGCTCAATTACTTTTAAAAAGGGTTGAAAGAGCCGAAGGTCACAAAGTCGTCTTGTTTCATCAAAAAATTCTTCCCTTTCTGCTTCTTGGGTAACACTTACGAAAATGTAAGAAGATTCATCTTGAAGAAGTTGATGGAGAGGGTATTTTCTTGCTTCTTTAAAAAGTTCATGCTTTATAGTTATTAATGTAGCCTCACGGAGGCATTCTAAAGTCACTATCATTCCATTTGGTAGTAAACATTCTACTAGGATTCTTGGGGGCATCAAGTGGATGCCCCACAGTTCACCTGATGATGGTCTTGGAGGCATTGTTCTGATCCTTTAAAAGTTTTACATATAAAACTACTTTCAGGAATTAGATGTGTGGCTGTTCCAAAGCAGAAATCTAAACCAAAGAAGAAAAATGTTATGTTAAAAGGGAAACAACTATAGAAGAATAGATTTATGGCATTATTAAATGGAAAAATTCATTTTCTGTAGTTTGAATTAATTATGGTAAGTAATAATAATTCATCTTAAATATTTAGGTGGAGACTTGCTCCAAATTAGGCTGAATGAACTGACTGCAAAGCAGAAAATAGAAAAATCACTTGTATTTATTATTTAACAAAGTCATTTAATTTAAAAAATATTTTATTTGAATGGATATTTTTAAAGTTAGGTCTTACCAAGACAGAGCTGAGGCTACGGGAAGAATGAACATTAAGTTGTAATTGAAACCAAAATTCCAATCACATATGATCTCTATCATTCTCTTCTACTTTATCGAGTAGAATTTTGGCTGAAAAGGATCTTTTAGATCATGGGTCAACTGCTCTAATTTTAAAGATGAGTAAAGGCTAGAGGAGTCAAGTCTTTTCCTTTTTCAACCTTACTTCCACCCTGTGATAATGACAAATTATATAGTTTTTTTTTTCCTTTCTTAAATCAATCTTTGCAATTTCCTCTTTTTTTTTAATACTGATTATTATATAAGTGACATCTTGGACCACTCTGCTTTTAAATTATAATTTAGGTATATATTTCCTGCAATATAAAGTGTCATCAATACATTTTCCTTGAGATATGATAATAAATTTGCAATGATCTATCCACTTTATCAAATAAGCCAGTCCTAATACTTCTGATTGAAATGAATTGATCTAAACATAAATGAGACTCATTGACTGTAAGTGTAATGTTCCAATCAACTGCGTACAGCACTTGTAATATTTTAAAAAATATTTATTATAATTTGAAGTCTTCATTTTTAGATGTCAACAATCTTGGTTTTCTTTTGGAAGACACTGTCAAAACCCACAAAGCACAAGTTTATTTATTGATGTTTATGTTTACTTTTTTTTCTTTTATTCAGTAAGCTAAACTGTAAAGGTATTAAAAAAGGTAAAGTGAGAGATAAAACAAAATGAAAAGCTAGAAAAAATAATCAAAAGGCCCAGATAACTTACTTTATTTGATTACTCTATCAGGCACCACGGACAACAGCTATAAATGACACTTGTTTATGCACTAAAAATGTACTGGTGCTGTCTGCAGGACCAAGTTAGGTGCTGGGAATATGATGATAAACAAGACACATGGCCCTTGCCCTCAAAAGACAAAGTCAAGAATGTGAAGATTATGTGTATGTTGGCTGTGGGGTAATTACATTCACAAGTACGAAACAGAAAAAAATGCTCTCAGACAGAAGTGCCAGGTGCTATAAGTCCATAGCTGTTACTTCACTTAATGGAAGTTGGAGTGGGAAGGTTTCCACAGGAGGAAACATAAAAACTGATTTTTTTTTTTTTAAGGATAAGCAGGAATTGAGCAAACACAATAAGAGGTGAGGAGCACGATGCATCTAATCCACTGGCCATCTCTAACTCTATTTCATACCCATCAACAAATTCTGTTAATTCTATCTCCTGAATCTATCTATGCTCCTTCACTATCACTCTTAGTGCCTTGGGTCAGGCCAATACTATTTTTTTGTCTGGACCACTGCAAAGACCTAAATGGTCTCACTGCATCTACGTTTGCCCCCTACAATCAATCCCCTCTTTCACCTCACAGCTAGTGTGACCTAGAGAGGGCAGCATGGCCTACTTTGAGCAGATATTTGTGCTGTACCAATTCTCAATGGAAAACAAGTGTTTATGATATGCTTCAGAGTTTTAGCATATGAAAGAGGTGAGAGGTAGAAATAGCAGAAATTTCCGGCCCCCTTCCCCAACCTCTGGAAATACAGAAATCAATTGGAAGACAATAAAGAATATAAAATTATTTTTTAATAGATGAAGTTTTTTTTTTCAAATTTATAAAAGATACCACTGAAGTTATAGGATTTAAAATATAATTATCCTATTTCCTATATTTTTAGAAGAAAATTCATTGGCTAGTAAAAAGACCAGATGGATCAATCTGTGTGTATAATTATAGAAGTGATTTAAGCTAAGCTTTTTAAAACATACAAAAAAATTTGAAGAATGCAAGAGAAAATGCCAAATGACTACTTTTAAATGATGATCTGTCTGCATAAAAAGTTCAAATAAAAACAAAACCAAACCACAAGCCACACCAAAACAGCAGCTGTGTTTATAGTTTTCTTTGTTGAAAGGCACTAGCAAGTCTATGTTATGGAATCATGGGGGAAACTATTTTATATAATAAATAACCCCCAGAGTCTCATACATTCCCTAAGAACTAGTAAAAGAGATGTCTAACACAGTAGACAAATCACTGATTCTAATCTTTATTCTACTATAGTATATTTATGGGCAATTAACAACTATGAAATACTCAAGATGTACTCTTCTCATAAGAGAATACTTCAATCATAGCCATAAAACACTTGGAAAACCTGGAAGGCAGGCACTGTTGACAGTATGGTAGTGCTACACCAAAGAGAGAGGATAACTTTCTTACCTATCCTCTTATGCCAAGACTTATTCTGTGCAAACCATTACCTCAGAGCTCATGTGAACAGAAGTGTAGAAAAGGCAAATGTAGCTAGTATTTACTATTTAGTATATATGATGTACTCAGAAAGACAATAATCCTTTTGGGGTAGGTATTACCACTTTACCTTAGGAAACCTAAGATCAGAGAAGTAAAGTTATTCACCACCAGTAAATGTTAGATATGAATTCTGAACCTAGGTCTAGGTCTTTCAAAGTGCATGCTGCTAACTGGGCTTTAGTTATGACCAGGTAATATTCATTAATAGTGAATAAGAGAATGGGCTCTAAAGTTACACTGGATTCAAATTCTGGCTGCCTTAATTAAAAGTTGTGTGGCCTTGAGAAGTTTAATTCATCTCAATGAACATTTTTTTTCCTCATTTGATAATTGGGATAATGGTATATACTTCATCGGATTGTTGTATTAGATGAGGTAATACAAGAAAAACACGTAAGCAAAGAGATTTGCACACAGTAAGCTCTCATTAAATGTTAAATATTACTATTAGTAAACCTGTAAAGTACACCCACATTATGTTTTCAAGCTATTATGAATTATCCAGGAATGACACCATACAGGGATGGGAAAAAGGAGTTTGGGTTGTTTTACTGAAGGAGGCAAATAAAAAAGGAGCTTCATAAGCAGTGCCAACTTCAAGAGCTGAAAGTTGAAAGTAGTATTGGTAATGCAAGGCTCACAGACAAGTTTGGAACAGTAGTGAGTGGCTCAGATGCTGAGACTTTTGCAGCTGCTTCTAGTTCCCCAGACTCCTAATATTCCTATTTAAATGGTACAGCTATCCTACAGCTTAGGAGTGGAGAATCCCTTACTTCCTCTCAAACTCCCTTTTTTGGAGAAATATCTGCTTGTGCTAGGCTCTAGGCTAAATATGCTATGAAAAAAAGGTAAATAAGATGTTTTCCCTTCTGCTGTTGAGGGACTCTCAGTTTATTTGGGGAAAGACAAGACACAGAAACAACTTCAACAATGGAAAATTGCTGTAAGACAAAATATGAACTTTGGAAAAGTTATAAGAAATCTTGAACTGCCTGAGGTTAGGGAAGGCATCGGAAGGGTAAATTTAACTAGAATATTATAGGTTAGTAGAAGTAAGGGGTGGCTTGAATATGGGAGAGCTAGATGAGGAGGGCATTTTAGATTGCCACAAGAGTATGTGTGCAAAGTCACAAACCATGAAAGAACTCTGCCTGTTACCAGCAATACAAGTTGTTTTTATTACTTGAGTCTGAAGTGCATGGGAATAGGTAGGGTGTGTGACAAGGAAGGAGAGGTGAGCAGTAGGCAGGGGCCACGATAAGAAGTTTGAATTTTATGTAGTACACATACATAAGTAAAAGGGAGTCTCTTAAGTATCTTCAGCAAAAGAATGATATGACATACTTTCATGACTTTTTTTTAACTCAGATTTAAATCTTTGCTTTTCAAATACAGGATATAATCAAATAAACATTAAACCAAGGTGTAAAAATCATATCTTCTCAATTATCTGAATTTGGAGAAAAATCTCTGAAGTTAACATACCAGGACATATAACATTTTATGTAAAGGGGCCTTTACATTACAGAAAATTAAATGTTGATAAAGAAGGTAGAATTATCCAAACTTAAGCGCAGAATATATTTACTAAAAAACAAAACAACAACAAAAAACTTATTTGAAAAATAAAAATCACTATAAAATATTTAGAACTTATTTGAAAAATAAAAAATCACTATAAAATATTTAAAATACAAATTTGCAATTTGGAGGTTTGAGGTCACAAAAATGTATCTACTAAAAATAAAATACTTTGAGTCAAAGAGCTACTCTAGTGAGCTTTTGAGTTCAGAATGCCAGGACTAAATATTTATATGCTGACAAATCACAATGATTCAGAACTCTTAGAAAATATATTGGTTTTGCTTATCCTAAATTTTATATATCTACTGATAAGCTATTTCAATGTCGGTATTCCTGTTTTCTTAAAAGGGTATATATAATTCACAATTTAACCTTTTCTTGAGGAGTTAGTCCTTATTATAAAACCAATTACTGTACTATACTAAAATATAAGATAGCAAAGCCATACAGTATTATTGAAGAGTCTGAGAGATTTTTGGCCCTAAAATGAACAACCCCAGGTTGGAGATGGTGCTTCTTAAAAATGCTCTCACCTGTTTGTTTTCTAGCAGCCAATGGTCATATTCGGCTGTGGCTAGCCTGCCTGATGATAGTAGCCTCCACTTCTATTATTCATTTCTAGTCAGTATCAACACTTGATCACAATTTTCTAACAGTCTATAAATGAAAGGACAATAGACTAATTGGTGATATCAGAACCTCTCCTGTATGAGCTTGGAAGCACAGCATATGTAACAAATACCTTGCTGATCAGAGATTTTTGTTTACTTCCTTGTTCTGGTATTAAAATTACTGTTAAAAATTACTGTTTGGGCAGGAGGCACTGAAAGTCTTTGGTTCTTAGAAGGCTTGAACTTCCATTTATTTTAGGTAAGGGTTGGGTCTTCATTAGCAGTCCAAGGGAAGTAGATGGTATTGCTCAGATACCTTTAAGGACAAAATAAGAGCAGAAATGAACAGCAGAAAATAGTCTCAGACTCTCCACTGTCATTGACTTTTATAGTGAAGGTTTAAATTCACTGGGCAATTCGATAATGTTGAACATGTGATGTGCGCTCTTTCAGTTCAAGAAGACAATGACGTTTTGACAACTTGTTTTTCGCTACTAAATTAAAAGCCTTTCTTGGAATGGTTTTTCCAGATTTCATCATTTAAGGCAAAGGTTGTCAAACTATGGCACACAAGGCAAATCCAGCTTACCACCTGCTTTTGAAAATAAAGTTTAATTGGAACACAGCCAATAAACTGTTTATGTATTGTCAATGATGGTTTTTGCATTATAACAACAGATTTGAGCAGGAGATATAGAGACCATCTGGCCTGCAAAGCCTAAAATATTTACTATCTGGCCTGTTACAGAAAAAGTTTGCTGACTCTGACAAGTTTCAGAATTACCTGATAAAAAATGGAGAGTTTCCTAAATGCAAACTGGTTAATAAGACATTCCTAGCCCTGGCTTTGTAACTATAGTCCTACACTTGCAATCTAAACCTTTTTTGGAGAAAAAAACATTAATTTTAAGCCAGTGAAGTTAAAATCTTGAAATAGGTAAGTTTCTCAGAAGTCACTTCATTAGATATTTTCATTGTTGGGAGCTCACCACCTGATATAAACATTTTTGTAGAGTACTTGTAAAGTTACCCCTGAAAGTTGTTATTCTTAAACTTCTTCATTCCATCAGTTCTGTCTGCCTTCTCTATCTTTTCACATACTTGACAGCTATTAGAATTTTTCCCTAGGTCTTCTTACCCCCAATTCCTTTCACCATAATTAAAGTGAGATAGTTTAACATAATCATCTTTGCCATCATTGAATGTGTTCTTTTGCTAATATTTATCTCAAAATGTGGCAACCAAAATCTAGTACAATTCTCCAGAATCAGTATCATCAAAGCAGAGTACAGAAAACTATTACTTTATTGTTGATTCATGTCTCTATAAACACAGCCTAAGATTGCAGAGACGTTTGCTGGCTTGATTACTTTAAAATTTACACAAAGTCTATATTAGATATTTTAAATTCAGGTTTCAATTTCAGAAGTATGTTGTTTAAAACAGTTATTTGTTTTTAAAATGTCAATATTATATCTGCATCAAAAAATCACTAAAAATAAGATAGCTATATTGAAGTGTACATTTGCAAATTTAGGTGTATCTATACTGACCCTATTGGCAGCTTAATCATCTCAAATAGCCACAATTTGCTAAAATAAGTAGTTTGTATTTTCTAGATATTTATGCTCCATAAATATAAATGCTGCATAAATGTTTGTTGAAGGATCAAGGTTTTACAAATATTTACATCTTGTTTAACTGATACATTTAACAGATGTTATGTGATTTAACTGATTCATTTATAAAAATATATATTTAGATACATGTTGACAAGATACTTTCCCCCCTCATTTTGAGACAGTTCAACAAGAAAACATTAACAAGTAGTTTTGTGGCTAATTTAGTTGCACCTCTTTATTTGCTTATTAACTAGAAAATAAGCTTTCCTGTTTGTTTTTTTTTAAATACCAAATAAATGTTTAGCTTAGTTTGATTTAGAATATGAAAACAAAAACTTGCCTTTATACTTGCTACAGAAATAACATGATTAAAATATGGATTAATAATTCTGTGATCTAATTACACTCCTTAAAAGTTACTTTAAGTATTTCCAGAGTTAATTATTCCCCTTTTTACTGTTACTCAGTCTCTTACATGTATTCCTATGATTATACCTTAATACATTCTTGTTAAATGTATTACCTACATCCATGTTTGACTTCCTGCTAGGCTGTGAACTTTTCCAAGATAGGATCTTGTTTTGGATTACTGTATAGTCCTAGAGCATAGAGGAATAAGTAGAAAAAGTAAATTGTTGAAATTATCTCAGGGAAAATATAACAAAGGCCTGAACAAGAAGAAGTAGCAATAGTAATAGCAAGAAAGGTGGATGAAGATATCTTGTAAAGGACAATCAAAAGCATTGAAAGAATAATTGGATTTGAGGGATAAGCAGCATGCTTTTAAACAAATTTCACTGCAGTAGATATGCATGGGAAACAAGTGTCTTTCAATACAATCCTTCTCAGCCCCAGTTAGGGCCTCTAAAATTCTCTTCTTCTAAGAGTCACAGAGCTGTTGGAGTGAATCCAAAGGGACAGCTGTAATATACACTAGCTCTGGAAGGATGCATGTTATCCATTTCTTTCAAAGTACTGTCCTTCACTGACCTTTACAAGCTGACCATGAGAAAACTGTTTTAACTCACCCCTTCAGGGATTCAGAGAGACCTTAAGAACTCAACTTCAGGGTGGAAAATCAAGTTCTCATGACCAGTACATAGAAAATTCAATTTCCTTTGGTAGGGAATGCAATTCACTTTCACTGTTAAATCTGTAGTGCTATGAAAGGTGTTATGAAAACACATTTCAGAGATTTAGTGTATTATTTAAGACAAGGGTTCCCTCATATCAGGTCCACAGATGGGCCTTAGGAAGGGTCTGTGCTAATGGATTTTCAAAACTAACAAACAATTAAGGTCTAGGTCAGTAATATCTCTCCGTACCAATGTAGATTTGTGACTATCAATAGCCGTGAACAAGGTCTTTGTTAAGGTGGGTTAAATGAAGCCAGTGTGAGTAGCAAAATCAAATGTGGTAAATAAACATAAGAGCCAGTAATGAAGTGTAGATTAATAAATATTTAATCTTCGAGTATTAGATTAATTATAAATTTAAATTCTGTATTTATATAGATGCATAAAGAAATCATACTAAATTTCAAAATACTGTCACCAAATTTCCAATTTGCACTTTAAAAATTCAAATTTTAATGTGATAGAATAAATTAAAATTTCTTAAAATTTAAGCTCAAAAGGAGACTAAATATTAATAGATAGAGGTGACGGTTAGAGGGATAGGATTATAAGAAAAGTTCATGTAGTTAAACAATGTGGAAAACACAAGATATTTCATAATATCATACAATTTAATAGGACAAATGATGCTACAGTGACGTAGTTTTCCAGGAAATATGTCTTTTGTCATCTTTGTTTGGGAGTCAGGCAGATTATCATAGTTTCAAATAAAACAAGCAGCAGGCCGTCAGAAGTAAATTGTAAATCAGACAACTCTAGAAACACCATTTACTTTTTCAGATCAACATAGCAGTATTTGGTGAATTATGATTTCAAAAAACAAAACTAAAAGAATAACTAATACTTTAAATGAAAAAATATATTAATATTTTGCCTTGTTTTTCTAGGAATTGAATACTTTTGCTCTAATTTTTTGATTCTTTTTTATTAGATCACCTTCTGACTAATAGCATGCATTGGTAAGATTGGTGGACATGATGAAGGGTGCCTCTTTCTGCCCAAAAAAGGACAAAACTAACCATTTCAGAAACAGAATCTAACCAGTGATTTGAGCTTTAACATCTTAACACCTATAACAAATGAATAACCAAGGGACTTGGAAACATTTTGGAAACGGCTACATTTTTTCAACTATGGTATTATTCAGAATTTAGTAGCAAAGAAAACAACATATATGAACTCAGTTTAGTTCTAAGGGTAAAGAAGAAATGGTCTGACAATGTTTTTCTTTTGGTTCAGATCACTGCCCCATCCTCAGATCTACTGACACTCAGGGAGAACCCTGAGATTCTTAAGATTTCCTCAGAAGAGGAAGTTTCTGGGAGTTTCCTTATTTACACAAGGTGAATAAAAATAGTTACTACCTTATAGTGATATTATAAGAATTAAATAAGATAATACATGTAAAATCCTTAGCACAGGGCTTGGAGCATGGAAATTCTATAAAGGTTCCCTTTCTCTTATGTCTTCTGGATTCATGTGGATCCATGTGTCCAAGAAGGGGCCAGAACTTTGTTTTGTGCTTACTGTAAAGAGATGGTAGATAATATTTTTTAAATTAATTTTTAAATGTTTAGTGTTTTGATGCGAATATTTTATTTATGTATTTGGTATCTGTACAGATGTCTCTGTCCTCATTTTTATATTTGTCTCTGTATTCTTATTTAACCACAAAATTCCTAAAGGATGAGGCCTGTATCTGTTTAACTCAGTTTGTACAGTCTCAGCAGAGCATAAATAACAAAATAACATCTGACATGTTTAACAATAAAACATAAGAGAAAATAAAAAATATGTCAAAAGATATAATGAAAAAGCAAATGGAAATATTTACAAAAACATCTTATTTTAGAATTATGTTATATGTAATCTGTAAAATCCACTTCCTTACATTTACATATGGAATTATATTAGTTTTCATATTTAAATAAAAAGGGAGAAATTGCAATGAGTATAGAAATAAAAATGCAAAGTTGTGGTAACAAATATTTTTGACTCTTGGACTGAAAAAAATTACCAGTAAGGAAAAGTGAGAAATAAAGGGGAATGAAATAGACCATATTACTGATTTTCTATTCATGTTAAAAAAATGCCTTTTATTCATATTTGGTTTGGAAATAAGCATCGATGATGTTTTTGGCTAAAAATCAATGTCACAGCTCATTTCCTACATTTAGTAAGATACTATTTAGAGTTCATTGAAGCAATACCTAAAGGAAATTTAGTATAATGTCTAGGGTAATTTTTGTAATAAGTAAAACGATATTTTCCTTGTAAAATGGTTACAAAATAATGTCTTTTATATAAATAGAGAAACAACCCTAAGGTATTTAAGTTTGGCAGTTGTATCTACATCTAAGCATCAATAGTATACTTCGATAAGACAGTGAAAATAGAAGCTTAATTATGCACCTGATTGCCTCCCTGAAAATTTAACCAATGAGATTAATGAAAAGACCAGCTCAAGCAAGAAAGAAGATCCAATATAAATGAAATGCAAACTATGAGGGGTTCTTAAAATGTTACTCCAATTTCTCGCTAAGCAAAAATTTTAGTTCTTATGGAACATACAAAGAAAAGGACCTGAAAGCTTAACCTTTCACAAGTAAAAGTTTATAACCAAACTTATTACTGATGATAAACAAAAATGGGGCACCCAGTCCTCTGTAATTTCTCTTTACAAAAGAGACCATCCTATACACTTCAGGAATAAAATCCATTAACTTAGAGTTAGACAAATTATGCTAACGTACATTGTTCTTTTCTTGATCTATGGATTCACTTAAGAAAAAAGCATAAAAGGGCTCTACTTTTCAGCCTAAAGTCATTATTAAAACTGATTCTCCTCTCTTTTCCCTTCCGAAGCCTGAAGGGCTTTGCCAAAAATAACTTGGCTCTTTCTTGCCCTAATGAAGCTAACACCATCCTGGATTTGGCTGATTTGTAAAATAGTTATTTCCTGCAAGCTGGTGATCTAAAGAGAAAGAAGAAACAAAAGGGTACATCATCCAGGGCCCAGTTAGATAAATTAATGTAAGTTTAAGAATATCTAGATTAAATATTTAATTAAATATTAATCAGATATTAGATATTAGATAAAGGTAACACTAGCAACATGTTTTCTAGCTGAAGGCAAGATGTTTCTATGAGCCACAGAAATGAGAACTCTCCCTGAAGTTATCTATTGGCTTTTCCTCTTTGTTTTTTTCTGATATAGCTTAATGCCTTCATAAGCCTTTCCAAGGTTTGAATACCTCAGTAGTCTTGTTTCAAGTTTTCCTGCTACTATGGATGAAGGTGGATGAACTTTTGGAAAATACTTGCTTCACACTGTTCCTTTTTGTCTTTTTCTCTCTTCATCAAAGACGAACAGCTACCTTATTTCCGTCATGGGATGAAGACAATTTAGTCATTATTGGAACTTCTAGTTATGTACTATTTCTTCTGGTGCTACCCCTTTAGTACATAGATGCATTAAAACTTGTCTGCACACCACTGATTAATCTTTTTTAAAATTAAGTTTACTGGGGTAAGATTATTAGGACAATTACATATAATTTTCAGGTGCACATTATAATTTCACATCTGTATATTGTGTTTACCACCCAAAGTCCAGTTTCCTTCAGCTGCCATATATTTGACCCCCTTTACCCCGTCTACCTCCACCCTCCTCCCCCATCCCCTACCCTCTGGTAACCTCTAGTCTATAGTCCATGTCCCTGAGTCTCTGTTTGTCCTGTTCATTTGGTGCTTTTAGGTTTATATCTCACATATAAGTGATATCATGTGATTTTCAACTTTTTCTGTCAGGCTTATATTTCACTTAGCATGATTATTTCAAGGTCCATCCAGGTTGTTGCAAATGGCAGTATTTCATTTCTTCTTATGGCTGAGTAATATTCCATTGTATGTACCACAGTTTCTTTAGCCAATCATCTATTGTAGGACACTTTGGTTGATTCCATGTCCTGGCCACCGTGAATAATGCCGCTATTAACATCGGTGTGCAAATATCTTTATGGATATGAGTTTTCAGGTCTTTGGCGTAAAATACCCAGCAGAGGGATTGCTGGATCATATAGTAGATCAATTCTTGGTTTTCTGAGGAACTTCCATACTGTTTTCCATAGTGGTTGTACCAATTTGCAGTCTCACCAGCAGTGTGTGAGGGTTCCTTTTTCTCTCTATCCTCTCCAACATTTGTTATTACTTGTCCTATTGAGTACAGCTATTCTAACAGGTGTGAGATGACAGCTCATTGTAGTTTTGATTTGCATTTCCCTAAAAGCTAGCGATGTTGAGCATCTTATCATGTTATTTGTTGGCCATTTGTATGTCCTCTAGGGAGAAGTGTCTTTTCAGGTGCCCATTTTTCGATTGGATCGATTTTTTGTTGTTATTGAGT